TGTTGAGATTACCGACCATAGTTTGTCGGTAATGTTTAATTTTAATTATTTTTAAAAAATATATATTTTCAATTACCGACTAAAGTTGGTCGGTTTTTTTTAATTTTAATAATTAATAAAAAAAATATAATTTAGTTAAACCNTTAAATAAAAAAATATAATTTAGTTAAACCGACCAACTTTGGTCGGTAAAATTAAATTAATAAAATATGTTTCTGACCAAAGTTGGTCGGTAAGTAATTAAACTTGTCAGATGGTCGTTTTAATATACCGACCAAAGTTGGTCGGTAATTTCCAACCAACTTTGGTCGGTAAGCCATTCCGACCATCAAAACACTGTCCACACCGTAATGGTCGCGTTTTGGTCGGTAATTTGTCATAATCGACAAACGTTGGTCAGTTTTTTTGGTCGGTTTTTAGCGAATTTCTAGTAGTGTTATAAATATTTATTTTTGTCAACTCAAGAAAGGGACAAAAGTGACAGGTGTTGTGTACACAATAATTATACATATTTGGGAGATAACATTCTTTTTATATACATTGGTATAGCATTTAAAGTCAAACTTTGAAAAAGATAATGCCAAAAAATTGATTTGTGCCTTTTCCTATAGGAGTCCAAGATGTGCCCGTACTGTAAGTGATTAATGGATAATTAAAATTTTACAAAACACTACAATTGGGAGCACTTGTATAATCACTACTTCTCCGCTTTTCCGAAATTAAAGTGATTAAATTATATCCAAACTATATACGATCCCTATGTAAAAAAATATACAACTACAAATCTCACTATACAAAAGATATACAACATATAATATTATTTATACAAAAAATATACAATTTTATACAACAAAGCTAGAATCTTTTACTACACTACAGTTCATGTGCACACTAGTACAAATATATATATATATTTTATACACATCGTAGTCATTCAATATACAAACAAAACTATCACTATAAAAAAAATATACAAATAGGCATTGTTTAATTCTGATTCCTTTTCATGTTAACTTGTGTCATCTGGAACTGCATTGATTATTTGAATTTACTTTAATACTATTTTGTACATTGTAGATTTCCTTCTTCTATTTTTTATGACAGAAGAAGCACGCTGCTAGAAAAGAAATTTTGACTAAAAGAATTTAAAAGCATACTGCAAAACACAAAATAAAGAGAAAAATATAAAAAAGAGTCTAAACGGGGTAGGGCGGGACACGGCTTAATAGGGCGGGGCGGGACAAGGTAAAATTTTGACTAAAAGCTAAATGTGGC